GAACATATCTAATGCTTTAGCCAAGAGAAACAAGTGCATCATGGGATGAGGAAAAGACTGTGAGTGGACCAAGAAGCAACAAAGGGGAAGAAAGAAAACCTAGAAAAGCCTGCACTCATGACAGACACCTGAAAATATCCTCCAAACTGTGTTTCAGCTCAGGATATGTGCAGCAGAACCTTTTTGCAGTACTGATCATTCCTACATGTGAGAGGGGTGACAGACAGCTGGATCTGAAGCAGGATTAGTTTTCCCAAAACAACCTGAGGCAGTGTGCAAGTAAAGCTGACAGTAAAAGAAGGCGACGGTGCAGAGCAGCTGACGAGGAGCCGTGTGTGCCTCATACTGCAAGTCTGTGAATGTGTGTGAGACAATATGAGTCATGTGCTACATGTATCCCCCACATGCCTGCTCTCAGATGTGCCCGTAGGGGGGTTCAGGGGAGCATGAGCGACTGTAGATAAAACACTGCGTGCACACACACAGGCGCAGAAAGCCCCACCTTCATCTCACTCCCTAACAGCTGAGAACACACACTGGCCCTGCAGCAGTCCTCATCTCGGGTTAGCACATCCAGGGCCACGTGGCACCTGCTTATGCTCCCTTGTTTCCACACATATATCCCTCCCTCACACACATATACGCACAAGGACTTACAAATACAGGCATGCCCGCTCCAAGCCTCTGTCATCGACAAGCACACCAGTTGCTCAGCTGTAATAAAGCTGTTCTTCTTTGAAAGAATGACTGGAGCCTTTTGAAATGAATGAAGATTATGACGTTAACACTTACAAGCACTGGCACATGACCTTACCTACACAATGTACAGCACATAACGTATCCATCAGTATACGCTGAGAGTTTGATCTTATTTGGATACAAACAGCAGAAGAAAGTCTACTTCACACAGCTGATGCTAAAGACATTAAACTGTGGCACACACACATTAAGTTTAGATTCAGAGGCTTTAAACATGATTTATAATTAAGGATTAACTTGTGGCTTAGAGGAGCAGTCTGACAGTTCAATCTGGCTGCAGTATCCTCACCACCATCAAAACTTTGGCTCTTGGGGACACTTTTAAATACGTTTGGGCAGACTGCCACATCCTCACATGCTGGAAAATCTGTGCCTAGTCATCCTGTGTGTATCAAACTATATGAGTCATTGAGGGAAAGGCCACAGACAGATTACATATCAGGCTCAATGTGATACAAGGACCATCCATCACAGGGCTGCTTTCAGATTTTAGTGAAGCTAGAGAATCTGTTCAGTAAGGCTCCTACTGGTTTTGCCATACTATCCTGAAATACTCGAACTTCCTGTGTGTTTGCAACCTGAGGGCTGATTCATGGTTCCTGCTTGCACTTCTATTCATAATACAACTGGGGG